CCCGAGGGCGATAAGTAAGTAACTTCATATGTTCTTCATTTGATATGTTGAAAAATCATAATAACAACTAATAACTATTGTGGACCACTTGTGCAGGAACTGGGTGCTTGTGGACCAGGCGGCCCCGGCACGCAATGTGAATGGCATCCTGGGACTTCTGTGCAAGGAACACTTCCCTGCCCTGGTTAGGAAAGGAGATCAGGATTGGGAGCCGGCCTGGACGTTCGACCACTATGCCCTCGTGCAGGATGCTCCAGATCATAATGGCATCCGCTACAGAAACAAGGCAGATCAGGTGATTAGGGAGTTGTGGGTAAGTCTTTCTTACACTACATTCCTCAATTCCTCGCATTCATTGGACATTCTTGAAATAAAATAATGGATACCACGTGTCTTTATGCAGGACTTCTTCAGAATCCAGAAGGGACAGGAGGAAAGTGTGTATCAGGTGGCTTACGCTTCCTGTAAAAGGCGTGTCACGGACTTGCACTACGAGTCCCGCCTCCAGGCCCACATAGACTACAACGCCAAGTTCCTACTCAGGCGTGTCAACAAAGAGGAGGCAAGACGGATAACGCTGACAAGGGAGCAGTACATACAGGTAAATACAAAACATGAATATTCATTTCTTTTGAGATTAAGTATGCCTAATTTGATCTTCTGATATGTCATCTACTTGATGTCCTATAGGTGATTCCAAGCTGGTGCGCCACCCACCCCGATTGCTGGGAATATATTGTGGACACCTGGTTGGACGGGGACTGGCAGAAGAAGCACGAGGAGGCCCGCGACAGGCATTTGCAGATGCCAGGTGTACCTCACCATAAGGGTAGCCGCAGCCTCAGCAAATATGCAAAGGCATATGTAAGTCTCCGCCATTGCTCTAATCTAGCCGCGCTCAATTCTGCATCATTTCTAACCACATGTTGTTGTCTTTCTCGTAGTCGGATGCACACGGTGGCCAGCCAGTTGGTCAACTCAAGGCATATGCTCTAGCTCACATGGGCAAGGCGACGGCCGACATCGAGTACGACCCAGATGCCCCGCTTGAGGCGTACACCAACTCCAGCATCCACACTCGCCTCTCTTCGTACACGGAGGCGGCAAGGTCAGTCCATGGGCCGGGCTATGATCCGAGAACCGAGGAGCGCCTTGATCCTTAGCTCGTGATGAGGGTGGGGCAAGGCAAGAAGCATGGGCGGTTCTGGATTGGCGACGGCGTCCTCGACACGGCCTCTACTCCTCCTCTCCACCAGCTCCGAGCAGCAAGCATGAGCTCAAGCGTGCCCATATGCCAACGGCCGACCGCGGTGTCAGCACTCCAGGTAAGCATTGCTGTTTCATTCGTCGTTCTTTGACTTTTACATACCTTACCTATGCATTATTGAAACATTGGGGTCAAATGCTGCAGACCTAGGTGCAGGACCTGCAGGCCGAGCGGCAGAGGCTACAGGCTTTGGAGGCCCAACGGGAGCAAGATCAGCGGTAGATGGCCAAGGTTGGGCGATCCCACAGACGCTGCTTGCTCCAGATCCACCTCCACAATGTCCTGATTCTACCCCGGTGAGTATAAGTACGAAGTTTTACTTTCTATGCTGAAACCTAGAGAAACCTAGTGGTGGTGGTGGTGGTGTGGTGGTCATGGTGGTGTGGTGATCATGGTGGTGGTGGTGGTGTGGTGTTGGTGGTGGTGGTCACAGTGTTGTGGTGCTCATGGTGGTGGTGGTGTGGTGGTGGTGGTGGTGGTCATGGTGGTGATGTGGTGGTGGTAGTCATGGTGGTGATGTGGTGGTGGTGGTGTGGTGGTGGTGGTGGTGAAGTGTTAGTGATGGCGGTGATGTGGTGGTGGTGGTAGTGGCGGATATTTATCTTGCATATTTATCTTTTCTCTTGTCTCTCACGTGCAATCTCTTCTATTTTGTGTAGCATCAATCGGGAGCAGCGTTGAACCACCTCGGAGGGTCACCGAGATCGCACGTTGGGCCATCGCAACCCGGACCGTCGCCGTGAGCTTCAAATGGCAGCCGTTGTGATATAATGCACTTGTGAACTTTGTGAACTATGCTTGTGTGTTTGGACTTTGGACTTAGGAGTCGAGATTGTGATACTTGTATGCTATGTTTGTGTTTGTGGTGGATTGTGATATACATTTGTATTATATATATATTTGTGTGATATATAGTTGTGTTATATATATATATATATATATATATATATATATATATATATATATATATATATATATATATATATATATATATATATATATATATATATGATGTATATCTTGTTTGCAACTATGGAAGACTAAAACAAAAAAAAATTGAATTTTTTCACTTCTTTGTCGAGTGTCATGACCATGGCACTCGGCAAAGCTGGGAAGCTTAGATTCCCAGCTTTATCGAGTGCCATGGTCAAGGCACTCGGCAAAGAAAATTAAAAAAAAATTGTTTTGCCGAGTGCCTACCTACATCACTCGGCAAAGAAAATCCAAAAAAAACAAGCTTTGCCGAGTGCCAGATGCAGGCACTCGACAAAGCATTAAAAAACACGTTTCTTTGCCGAGTGCCGACGCGTGGCACTAGGCAAAGGGGCCGTCACCGTGACCTGGCCGTCACGGCGGCTTTCCTTTGTCTAGTGCCGTCGTGGCACTCGGGAAATCCTTTGCCGAGTGTCCGACATGTGGCACTTGGCAAAGAAGCCTTTGCCGTGAAGAGATATGCCGACAGCTCTTTGCCGAGTGCAGTATTCGACAAAGGCTTTGCCGAGTGCAATTGCACTCGGTAAAGCACGCGTCTGCTGTAGAGACCATTCGCTGAAGTTGTTGGCGGCCGAGTCCAGGGTGACCGGGATCAACACCTTGACATTGAGGATGGCGGTGGCCTACGCCCAGAGCGCTGCGTGATCGGCCTCGCGTTGGTCGAGGGCGAGCACGTGCTGGCGAGCGGCTTCAGCAAGGCGCGCAGCCTCGGCGTCATCATCTCCGGCCATGGGGCCCCGGCGACTGCGGCTTGGCGAGCGAGTCGGCGACAAGTGTAGGCGAGCGCACCGAGGAGACAGGGCGCCGTCGATCCAATCAACAGCTGCCTGGCAAGGAACGACGTAGGCAGGTGAGCGGTCAGCGACGGCGTGTGGAGCGGAAGTGGAAAGGATCGTATGCGGTGAATGATACCATGTAAATGTTACATAGATGGAGTAAATTCCATAATTCACTGAAAGTGTACAGTGTACATATGTATACCGGTAAGAGAGGCACAAAACTAAGGGCTGTTGGGTTCATTTAGTCACTTTTAGTCGCTAAAATGTTAAACACCCCACTAAAGTTTAGGGTCACTAAAGCTTAGTGGCTTTTAGTCACTAAGGGGTAGCTAAAAGTGATTAAAGTGTACATAGAATAACTGTTTTAGTGGTCTTTAGTTATTATAACCAAACATAGGGTCACTAAACTTTAGAGGGGTCATTGAACTTTAGGAGGTGGAACAAACATACCCTAATACACGCTAACGCACAATAGCTATAGAGAGGCACAGAAATAATACGCTAACAAGAATAACTCGCGTCTAGCAATATATAGTGCTCAGTTCTAAAATATATTTATTGATTTAACGATGTGCACATTTGCTAGTCCATATAAAATTAGTTGAAGTAATAGATTTATGTTTGAACCTTTCCTAGTTACTCTCTCTCTATATTGTTCGGTGCATATATTAAAACTAAAAGCAGGCGATTGCTTGGTAACCTCTGTCATCATTACAAGGGAACACAAGATCCCAAAAGGCAATTATGTTTGACATAATTTAACATTGCTTTAGCAATCAGGCATGGACCTGCGAATACAATGTTCTGCTGGCCTAGAAACCGCAGGCTAAATCTCCTGGAAATATGGTCTTTTGCCACCCATGCACCTTTGGTCCTTTATACATGCATAGTCGGCAGCTTGACATGTACTACTACAACAAATGGACGCAAGAATCTGAACAATATACAACGCAAGTTCAAGTTCTTTAACCACTGAATCGTAAGTAGTAGTATTTAAAAAGCATGATCCTCTATATAACTGTATATATACCTGGATGCACATGGCATGCTCCCTCCTTTAGTTGGCACAGGCATATAAAAAGCCATGGAGATGCACGGCTGTGTGCACCACAAGCATTGACCGGACTGTTTCTTTCGAATGCAGCCACGCAGAAAGCACAGAGAAGAACATATAATGCCTCTCATTATTGGAATGCAGACACCAGTTAGGCAGCTACAGCTTGATCATTGAGCATTCATGCTAGTTGTGCAATTATATATGTATCATTTGCGCAACGGAAGCATGGTTTGCGGTAATTGAACTTGTTTGGCTGCTAGACAAACAGCACGCAGGATCTCAGCCCTTTCATTTTTCTGTTCGGAAAAGGATGGCACATCCCTGAAGATATCAGGTATTGACATTGACATTCATTCTTCGCTAAAAATTGAAGGACAGAAATCAGAGGCCGGCCGGAATGCAAAAGGGCACACACTGACATACACATATATATCGATCACACCATCTTTGTTACGTGTGTATATATACATACTTCATATAACAAGATGAAACTTAACGACATATGATACATGGAACGGAGAGTCCCTAAAATAAAAGTAAAAAAAAGGAAGAGATACACTAATACATGAAGACATACGCCTCAATGAGACGATGACATAGACCTTAGCTTCAGGGTAGTAAACAACAATATGATACAGAGAGGACGAGCAGAGTCAGTAATAACGAAACATTAATCCACCCTTGCATTGCAGTTTTAATTACCGGCTGGACGCTTGCATTGCAATGCCTTGCTCAGCAGCTGTTGTTGCACTTGTCCATCGCCCTCGGTGCTGAACAGTCCGGCAGCAGACAACCAAAGCATGCACACGAATGTCGTTAGTTAGCTTTGCTTAGCTCTCAGGTGTCAAATAAAACTTGTCAGACAGTCAGTAAGTGAAGCTTTTTGTGAGGCAGAGTGTGATGACTACTGACCGAGGCCTACGGCTTCCGATCCTTTCGTGATCCGGAGGCGCTTGCACGACTCCACGAACATCCTGCATGCAATTCATTTGTGTGATCGTCGTCGATCGGCCAGAGAGCAAATGGATGAAACAAAGAGAGAGGTTTCGTTCTCTCTTACTCCCAGGGGACGTCGCCGACGAGCATCCAGTCGCCGTCCTTGTCCTCGTACGTGGGCACGAACTCGTCGGAGCCGCTCACTAGGTCCGCCAGCTTCGTCTCCTTCATCATCGTCCCCTGCGACCCGCAACTGCCTGAACAAACATATCACAAACATTATATTGGAGACTGGACCACATGATTTTTTTTTCCACCAAAGACTGGACCACATGATTATCACGTAGTAGGAGTAGTAGAGTATTTCTTCATCAGATTCAGAAAAAAAAAGAAACCTTCTCTGTTCTCTTGATATATATGTACAGTGCGAACGTATCTGTCATGTTCTTAATCGATCAGCAACTCAATCATACATAGCATGTACAGTCAGCCGTATCATCGGCGTATCCTATCGTACAGCTGGAATAATATGGATCGATCGATATACGTGCGTATGTACGTACGTGAGCGTGACATGCACGTTCATGCTGACACCGTATAGTACGTATGTGTTATACGAAGTGCCCATATGCCCAGTGGTGGCGTGGTGGGAGAGTGGGACAGACAAGCAATGCCAGCCATGGCAAGCCAAGACAGACAGACACATCAGCGCCACAGCGACTCATGAGTCATGACAAGCAGGATAAGCTTAGGTGTATGTGAGTACGTACCGATGGTGAAGGAGCTGAACATCTTCTGGAGCGCCTTGGACAGCTCCTGGTAGCTCCCGTACGTCCTCAGCTCCACCTTGCGCAGGTACGGCGCGCCGTCCATGCTCACCTTCACCAACGCCGGCGGCGACATCAACTTGCCGCCGTCGTCGCCTCCGCCTCTGCCTCTCTGGGACTGGACGGCCAGGATGTTCTTGCGGAACGACCGGACGGGCGGCCAGCCCACCGCCTGTGCCTTGTGCATCAAACAACGCATGTACGGAATGCATTCATCCTGCTCTTGATTGATATCATCATCAGAGAAATTACAGACTGCAGATTATTGAAGATTCGTGCTCCACAGCTTCTGTTACTGATGCATGATATAAACATGAGTATCTTGCAGGAAATTGAAAGGCTCTTTCTTTTGGTAAATATAAAAAAAAAATCATGTCGGCAGCACTAGCTGGGGACTGGGTGTCATGCTCCACAGGCCCACATGCTGCCCTCCTGTCTTTTTCTCTGCGCTGTTCGCTGTTCAATGTTCATCCATCACGCCATCACTGTAAGGTAGTAGTATGGGTGTATGAGGCTATGAGCTGCGTATCCAGCCTCTACATGTCAAGATCCAAATGCACTGCAGCACTGATGCTTAGGAGTAGAGCGCAAACCCAAATTGAGCCTTGCGCGTCATTCAGTCCTCAACTGATGCATACAACGCACAAATTTTACAGAAATTCTGAAATCCATATAAAGCGGTTTCACCCGAAATGGTTAAAATTGACCTCTCTTTACTTGCATGAGAGCCTGTTTCTCGCAAATAAATACTAAGGTTTCTCGCAATTAGCATAACCTAATAATATCTGAGTTGGCAGGAACAAGAACATTTGCACAATCATGCCCATGCATGTTTAGCTGTTTACTACGAAGAGAGGAGAACGATCGAGAATATATAGGTGGGGAGAACGTACTTGGGCGCGCGAGGCTTCTCGGGGTCCGCCGGCTGCGCGTCGGCGGTGACCACGCCACTATACCAGAAAAGCTTATCGGTGACACCTTGCTTAGTGACCAAAAATTAAAACGCGTCACTAACATCGGATCAGTGACGCGGGTACACAAAACGAGTCACTAGTCAGGTGCCGCCCATGGGTCTGGAGACAAAAACGAGTCACTGATGACGAGTTACCAGCGACGATTCTTAAGAATACGCGTCACTCATAGCCGTAGCTGTTATCATAGACTCGTTGGGACAAAACGCGTCACTCAAGGTCTCGGACCCGAAAAAATTATCAAATACGCTTTACTGAAAAGTGAAGTCCGGACTCCGCTCCCCACCCTCCTGTACAGACTCCACTCGGACGGCACCTCACCTCATCACGCATTCCTGCCCCCCTCTCTTTCTCTCGCCTCTATCCCGACGCCACTCCGCCGCCTGCCGGCCGCTGGTCGCCCCTTCTCCTCCGTCGGCTACCGCCACCCCTCACGTCTCTTCCTCCACCTCCACCAGTCCTCTTCCCCCGCCGCCATCTCTCTCTTTCTCCTACAGATCTGGATGGAGCCTCCGCCTCTCTTCTGCACAGGCAGGGGTTGCTCCAGGCGCTGCAGGCGGTGGTGGCTCCGGGCGGGGCAGGCAGGGTTCCCTACGGCAGTGGCGCATGTGGCCCCAGCTCGTATCGGTGACGGTGTGCAACCTCTTCAGTCCCGGCGCCCTACAACGACGGCGCGTGGGCTCCCGTGCACCGGCGTCGGTGAGAACCCTCCCACTCCTCTCCCCTTCCCCGCAGCACCTTCTGCTCAAGCAGGGTCTCCCAGACCACTGACGCGGAGTACTTTCTTCGAGCCATATTGTGTCTTCAGCGCACGCTTAGCAGGTGTTCGACGCAATGCCAGCAAGACCACCTGACTTGAGGTTTCGCAAATTTTTCTAAAACTAATATTTGTTTGTACTGCAATCTCTATGCTAGGTTATATTCAGATTTGTTTGAAACTTATGTGACAATATGCTAGGTAATAAGTTTATTGCTTTACCCAATCACTAATTTGTGGTAATTACGTGACACATGTGAGTTGGAATGATGTAGCTGTTACATTGTAACTTGTGCAAAATTAGTAAGCTGATGTTTAACTATCTGGAAAATTAGGTAAGACAGTTTTAGGTTTGGTAAACCCTAACAAAAATATGTAGTCCTTTTTGGTTTGGTAAACCCAAGGCTACACTCTGATGCCCTAATGATTTTATATCCTTCAGGTCTAAAACACAAGACCAAGTGACTGGCCATCTGCAAGACACATAAATAAATACTACAGTACTGCTATGTGCCTATTGATTCCTAAAGTAAGTTCATTAGAAGTTTGCTCCTAACCAACCATAAGGGCATGTCAACCACTGCTTATTAAGTATTCATTGCCTCTTTATTATGTATTCATAGCATCTTTGTTAAGTGTGCTTGATCTACTGCTTTCATCTGAAGTTCTGGCACACAACAACTCGATTTCAGTCTCAATTGCATAGAAGAACTGATGAAGCCCACAAATTCCATGTCATTACAGCTGTGAAGGAGCACAAGTCTCTCAACTCGATCTAGGCCACAATGAGCAGGTTAGTAATGCTATTATCATACACCTAATGAGAGGCTCACAACCAAGGGTCGATAGGCCATATGACAGCTATGCTATTGACCTTTTCTTACAATGGTCTAATTGGACATTCTAAATCAGTATGATGTAGTGTATTACTGTATTACCTTCTTGGAGTAGCTCACTGCCCAAATACTATATGACTTTGTAATTTCAAGGATTTCACTAGTTCATTTCAGTATATGCTGCATCATTGTGTTTTATTAATAATCTGGGGATATCCTCAAAAGCAGTTGAATTGTCATCAAGGCTTGAGTTTGTCATCAAGGATTTAACTAGTTCATTTCAGTTTCATTATAGCCATTCCTTATTGCATTATTACATTTCTTAAACTGGCGGCTAACGCTCAATTTGTTCACCATTCAAAAATTGACATACAAAAACTGAGTGTAAGGGAGTTCTCATGCCATGAGCTTAATGCCAACCTGTTATGGCTTGGGACATTTTCATTTGCTACATGGCTGGTTAGGAACTAGTCAATTTTGGATGGACGACGTGTTCTGGAATTAGGAAGGTATGGGTGCTGTTCTCTAACTCTATGGACGCCTTTTCTTTCTTCCTTTCCTGACCAATTCAATCTAAGTGGTCACTTTATATATGACTAAAAATTTTTACAACTACCCCTATTATTGTCATGTTGGGCTCAATAAGTAACTTAGGATATCGATACATCCATCTCACAGGTTTTTTTTCTTTGCTGTTAGCACTGACTTGAGGCATGTATAGGTTTTTCTTCTTTGCTGTTCCATCTCACAGTTTTTTTATGCTATCAAACCTTTGCAAAATCATTCCTACCATGTCAATCCACTAGAATTTTTTCGGTGACACTGGGAAATTCGCACTGACACTGTCCAGCACCCATTGACACCAAGTCTAGATAAAAAAAATTACTGAAGTTAAAAATCAATCATCTCGGTGACTCAAAATATTTACATGTCTTAAATCTGAGGGGAAAACACAAGTTTGATTCCAGCTTCAACCCTCAGATATAACATTAGTGTCCCTACTGGTTCCTACCAGTGTCTTCAGCGAACTAGTGATTAGTGAACTTTGGACAACATAGCAATAGATATGGTCTAATGTTCCCTGATGTATGATGTATACTGTTTTATATGTTTATAAGAGATCAGAACTGAATTAGGCACCTGAAGTACTGATCTGGAGACAAATAATTTAACTATACACACACATCTGTTGCACATCACGTGATTCACTGATTTATGCTATCTGTAGTAGGAAAGTGTGGCTTTCCACATAAACAAAAGCGTTTTATCTGTAGCCTTTTAGATAAATACTGCTATGAAAGTCTTAATCATTCTGTACCTTAAGAGTAGAGAAATATGAAATGAGATCAGTTATTGAGATCTTTTGGCCATGACTCAAAAATGACAGCTAGCTGTTCATTTGGATTTGTGTAAATAAAAGAATACATATAACTATCGATGCTATTATTATTTTCTACATTTTAGTTCAGCAACTGATTGTTTTACACAAATCAGTTGCTGAAATATAATAAGTTAGAAATATTAATAGTGTACCAATGTAATTCAGTGTTTCATATTGCCTATAGTTATAGTTGTTTAGTTATAGCATTTCCTCTCAGATTTATAAGTTGTAGCTGTAGTCGGCCTCTCAGATTTAGTTGTAATCAGCCTATACTTAAATTTTGATGCTTGCAGGACTGCAGATAGCTATGTTGGCTTCTAGCTGGTAATAAACCACTCTAGCAAATGCAGGTAGCTATCCATCATTGATTTTTAATTGCTGCCATGCTCATGTTATTCACATCTTGTAACCTTGAAATGAGGAGTCCTTGTACTGTAGGGTTTGTAGTAGTCATCAAGTTATCTTGCTTTGGAGGGTGGGAGACAACTAGGAAATTTGAATTTGTAGTACAAGAACCAACTTTGAATAGTATTGCACAAGTTGTGCTGTTTTGATTGCTAAAAATCATCTTGTACCAAAGGAAAATAGTAGCTGTAGTCACTCTTCTTGGATTTACATTGTTAGGCCAATTTTTTTGGGGTCCGGACTATGTATTTGATGGCCTAGTCTTGCCTTGCTCTTCCCGCTCTACAGCAGCAGCTCCTTTGTTTGTTCACTAATTGAACCTTTGTTTTTTTTCTTACTACAGGCTGCTGCTTTGCGGTTCAGTCAATCAGTCATATATGTGGATTCTTGGAGATGATGATCTGAATTATATTGGTTTATTGTTAGCGTTGTTGCTTTGTACAGCAAGGTTTGAAGCTAACGCCTTGTTTAGCGTGGCAGGGAATCAGCAATCAGAGCACTTTAGCCTAGGAACAGCAAATGTAAAAGTATGTGCAATACCTTTCTACACCGAAATGTTTTTCCAATAATATCATTGTTTATGCCTCTCTACACTTGCATAATCAACATTAAGGCCATTTTCAGCTTTCAAATATGGCCAATGAAAATAACATGAGTTGAGACACCTTGTAATGACTAGCGACAAGTTATAGATACAAGGGAATGTCAATTAGATAGAGGACTTAAATAATGTTAGACATCCGATCTGCTAATACTTAGAGTTTGAGACCATGTGATGGACTCGAATATCTTTTACAAAACAACTTTCTTTTAATGTTGTGCTTTGCCACTCAAAATTGTAGCCTCTGTAGTTTCACATATTTATAGATGAGATCTTGACCATGCCATGAGACTCAAAAATCGATGCCTCTGTAGTTTCACATATTTATAGAGAGATGCCATGCCATTATAGGACGTTGCTTTTAAAGCGTAAGAGCGATGGTCCATCCGAGAAGAATAGGAGGAAGCGGAAAAATCAAGTGACCGGGAGGGATGCACCACCTCATTCTGTACTGCTCAAATGCTATGTTAGCCTGAACCTGCTCAAATGCTATGTTAGCCTGAACTTGAACTAGAAGTTATGTAATTTAGAAATCTGAACCTGCTCACTACTCTCCTAGGACCACTTTTATGTTTGTTTACATCTCCCAATGTGTCATACTATGCATTGTGTTCTTCAAATATGTAACTACATGTGCGCGCGATGGCGTGCGCCCTGCACTAAGAATTGATTGTTGAAATGGTGGAACTTGTCTGATGTGTGTGTATATATTTATATATATAGGGTCATATTAGATGTATATAGGGTCATTGTAGTTTTTTTTTTGTTTTTCTGAAATAGTTATCAGTGACGCGTCTTGGCTAGACACGTCGCTGATAGAGGGTTATCAGTGATGCGTCTTGGCTAGACATGTCGCTGATAGAGGGTTATCAGTGACGCGTCTTGGCCACACGCGTCGCTGATAAAGGGTTATCAGTGACACGTCTTGGCCACACGCGTTGCTGGTAACCATTTATCAGTGACATGTCTTGAATACACGCGTCACTGATATGCCCTTATCACTGACGCAACATCAGTGACGTGTATTTTACGCATCACTGAAAGCCCTCTACACGCGTCACTGATAACGTTTTCTGGCATAGTGCGCTGCTCTGGCTCGGCGACCTCTTCATGGTCGTAGCTGTGCCGCCGGTGGTGGCTGCTGGAGGCGACGACAGTGGGACCGCGGCGGGGACGACAATGTCGCCAGTGCCAGCCTCCTCCTGCTCCTCCTCCACCACGTGCGCCGTGGCCCATGACGCCGCCGCCGCCGGCTGCTCCAGCTTCAGCTTGAGGTCGATGGTCTCCTCGAAACCCCGCTTCCTCGCCGCCGTCGCGGCATCCCCGGGGTCGTTGCCGCCGGGCAGGCCGAGCCGGAGCTCGGTCTCCTCGAACCCGAGGCCCGCCATTGACGGTGCCGCTCCAACTCCAATAGAGTGCTCGCGCGCAGCCGCAGCCCGCAGCTGAGGTCGACTTCGATTTCTCCTTGGGTTCTAGGCGTCTGCTTTGGCTTTTGGTTTGTGAGCTGTGAGCGCGGTGGAGACAGGAGCGGCGGCAGGCCGGCAAGATGCAAGAAGCGAAGGGAGAAATGATAATGGCAGGTGGATGGTGAGAGAGGGACACGGTTCCCTCTTTCTGGAGCGGCGTATATAATACGAGGCCTGTCATGGTGTCATACAAAATGCAAAAGGCCCGTCCTTGCGCCAAACTTTGAAAAATTTATGGGCTCCATTTCTTCACCCAAGGGCCCGCTTGCAAAATGGCGTCCTTTATTTTTGTCCAAACTTTGGAAAAGGTTATATTATATATCAACTATTTTTTGGTACATTAAACAGCACGTTTTGTATTAAGGCAACCTTGAATTAGCTCTTTCGAATAAGTATATTATTACTTCTGTGCAAACTTGAATAAGTATACTACTACCAAGGTGAATTATTTTAAGTTAAGCCTTTCCCAATCCAGGGTACAATTTCTGTGCAATCTTGATCCTAGCGTTTCTGAGAGACGAGGTTCCCTTTAGTATGTCTAAGGTGTGGGATGAGGTTGCGTTTTCGGCGGCCATTTGCTCTGTGGTGGAAGAATTTTATGAAAGCGCCTCCCTCCCTGATTTGAATGGTTGCCCATCCAACTCTCTATTTTGGTTTACCACCTGTGAAGTTAAGGGTCTGGACTCTTCGGCACCGCCTAGATGAAGGATAATTTCATTAGCCATAAATAGCTGAATTCAGGCGCCACTGAAGAGCGATTTGCTCCAATTTTGTAGGCTGTTTGCAGTATTCATCAGACGATTGTGTAGGATCATTAGGGAGAGACTCCTCTAAGAGGGGTTTCCCAAGGTGATTTGACAATCTCATGGATTCAGGTATTTGGGTCCACAACTACTCAAAGTGAAAAACTCACTGTCTCGGCGGTTAGTGTTGGTTGCACAGGAAAAGGGGTTGTGATGAGAGAGAGAGAGAGAGAGTTGGAGAGGGCTTGTAGGCTAAAGTTCGAGAAATAATCTCCAAACTCTTGGTTGCAGAAAACTCTATCCAGATGGACGAGGGTTGGAGTTGAAAGCATCTAGGCCCTTAGTTGGGTTTCGGTGATTAATGACAATACGTGATTACTATGACTAACGTGTGTGTTGCAGAGACAATTAAGTTAGGTCATGGTAATGGCAATTGATTGGGCAATCATGGTTGTCATGCCCCTACGATGAAAATCGTTTTGGTTTTCAAAGGATGGACGACAAGGTTAAAGATGAACTAGTTCTAAGTGTCGTTTGGTGTTGAAGAGACATTTGGAGTAGTTTAGGACTTTGTTTTTCCTTTGGCCGTACTATTAAGGAGGGTATGGACTAGTAGCTTGACCTAGGTGAGTCTAATGGGTTAGGTGTGATGCACACTTGTCAAATCTAGCACTATGTAGCTCCTAAGTAGCCCTAAGATCAATTGGAGCAAACTTCATTCACATATGATTTCGAGTTGGAAGTGAATGGAGAGTCAAATGTTGACCGGACGCTGGTTCCGGTGTGACCGGATGCTGGCAGTAGAGTCTGGTCAGTTCATTTGATCAAGCTGAAGTCGTCTGGATGTGACCGGACGCTGAGTGAAAAGTGACCGGACGCTGGGTGCCAGAGTCCGATCAACTCCAGTAAGGTTCCAGAGAGGGAGAATCCTGATCGGACGCGTCTGGTTAGTGCTGACCAGACGCTGGTTAGGTTTCGGTTAATGACCGGACGCTGAATAGCGAAGTGACCAGACTCTGGGCGCCAGCATCAGGTCAACATCAGTAAGGTTCTAGAGAGCAGTTTTCATGACTAGACGCAGGTCAGAGTCCGATCATAACTTAATGGCTCTATGGTGGGGACAACTGACCGGAGCGTCCGGTCACCCCGCATAGTGGTGTTTCAACCTCCTAACGGTTCGTTTTGAATAAGGGGGTATAAATACTTCCTCTATTCATCCAAGGGAGGCGTCTTGCCCATTTCAACAGTTGAGAAACACCCTTAAGAGTGCTTAGGAGAGCAAGAGCCTAGTGAGGTGATTGAGATTTGAGAATCCAAGATTAAGGACTCATTAGTGCAAGAAGAGTAGCAAGTGTGCATCCACCCTTCTCATTAGGCTTGTTGTGGTCAAGTGAGAGTTTGTGCTTGTTACTCTTGGTGATCGCTATCACCTAGATGGCTTGGTGGTGATCGGGAGTTTGGTGATCATCCGGCTGAGCTTGTGGATGACCCAACTCAAGTTATGAGCGGGTTTGGGTGATTCACCGTGATGGAGTGTTGAAGAATCAACCCGTAGAGAGCTCTTGATCCTTACATGGATCAAGGGAGAGCTACACCCTTACGCGGGTGCTCCAACGAGGACTAGTGGGGAGTGGCGACTCTCCGATACCTTGACAAAACATCGCCGTGTTCCTTCTCCCCTCTTTACTTTAAGCATTTATTTTTGAGAAATTCAATTCTTGTCTTTACATTCTTAGAATTGCCATGCTAGAGTAGGATTGGAACTTAGGGTGCTAAACTTTTGTGCGGTAGATCAATAGAATCATATTCTAGGCATAAGGGGTGAAGTGGGCTAAGTGTAGGGTTTAATTATTGCAAAGAATTTTAGAATTAGCCCAATTCCCCCCCCTCTTGGGCATCTTGATCCTTTCAATTGGTATCGGAGCCTCGTGCTCACGAATTTAGGCTTAACCGCCTAGAGAAAGATGTCATACGGGGATGGACCTCCTATCTTTGAGGGAGATGATTTTCCATATTGGAAAATCTGCATGGAGGCGTATTTAGAAGCTCTAGATGTTGGAATTCTTAGAGCCGCGTCTCAAGGTTTCCCAAAACATGGGGATCCCACGCACCTTCAAGGCGATGAAGTGAATTACGAAAAATAGAATGCAAAGGCTAGAAACACCATCTTCAGAGGCCTTTGCAAAGATGTGTTTAACCGTGTGAGGAACCACAAGGACGCCCATGCACTATGGTCAGCCATTTGTGCGCTTCATGAGGGAACAAAGAGTAAGCGTGAGGAACGCTATCATCTCGTCATGAAAAAGCTTAATTCTTTTGAGATGCTTCCTAAAGAGAATGCTAATGAGATGTACTCATGCTTAAATGTTCTTATAGAGGAAGTCAATGGGCTTGGACTTACTCAAATGCAACCATCCGATGTTGTAAGAAAAATCTTGAGTGTCCTCTCCATTGACAAATATGAGCATATTGTGACCATGCTTCATCAAGGTGATCTTTCCACCGCTACACCAACTCAAATCTTAGGAAAGATCAACACTCATGAGATGTACATGCACATCACAACACAAGATGGCTCATCCTCTACCAAGAAGAAAGACAAGGACTTGGCATTCAAGGCTAGCCAAGAGAAGGGCAAAGCAAGAATTGAGTATGAGAGCTCAAGTGATGATGAAATTGATGATGCAAGTCTTGCTCTCATGGTGAGAAGAACCACCAAGATGCTAAATAAGCTCAACAAGAATGGCGTCAAGTTTGATGGCAAGAAAAAGAAGTTCTTCACAAGCACTAGAAGGAAGCCAATCTCCGAGATGGATTGCTATAATTGTGGAGAACTTGGTCATCTAGCACATCAATGCCCCAAGCCTAAGAAAGACAAATACAAGAAGAAGAACAAGGGCAAGAAAGATGACTCAAGTGATGAAGATGAAGATGAAGATGAGAAGAAGAAAAACAAGCCATACAAGGAGAAGGATGGCAAGAAGAAGGATTTCCACAGGAAGAAGAAAAATGGCAAGGCATACATCGTCGGTGATTGGCTCCGGACATTGATTCATTAAGTTGTTCATCCGATGATGATAGTGACAACGAGAAGGTGGCCGCTATTGTGATTGACTCTTCATCATCTTCACCGACACCACCACTATCATCCTCTACACACCTATGCCTTATGGCCAAGGGTGAACAAAAGGTATCAAATGATGATGATAGTAGTGGTGATGATCATGCTAGTAATGATGATAGTGATAGTGATGATGAATTTAAATCACCTTTATATGATGATCTTATCAAATTGCTAAATCAATACACTAAGATCATTAGAAAGACTAGAGCCAAGAATGAAAAGCTAGAACTTAAGAATGATTCTCTTTTAGCTAAATGTGACATAGCGAAAAAGGCTAGTGTTGAGCTTAGAGAAGCAAATGAAGCTATGTCATCCAAATTCAAGGAGCTCAAATCTTCTAAGAAAGAGCTTAAAGAAAAACATGATAAACTTGAAGGGATACATAATGAGCTCATCACTATCTACAACAAGCTAAAAAAAGACTATACCAACCTGAAGGTTAATCATGATAATCTTGTTATCTCTCATGAGTTTTTATCCAATGAGCCACATGATGCTACTAACGATGTTGTTAAGATTGATATAGCTACATCATGTGATGATTTGATTATTGAGAGCATTGAGCAAGGTTCTAGTAGCAAAGGCAAGCAAGTGGTTGAGTCCGATAATTATGATGAATATGTCAAGATCAAGAATGAGAATGAGAAGCTTAAGAAAGATTTTGAAAAGCTATAAACCACCAACACTATTGTGATAGAGAACCTTGACCATGATAGTGATCTAATTCTTGAGAATGAGAAGCTCAAAGAAGAAAACAAGAGACTCAAGAAGGAGAAGCATCATGATGAGCTCAAAGAAGAGAACAAGAAGCTCAAGCTAGAAAAAGAACATCTCAAGACCGGGTTGAGAAAATTCACAAGAGGTCAACATCTTCAAAGTGAGCTACTAATGAACACCGTCATGAAGATGGATAGAAGTGGAATTGGGTATTTGGCAAATCAAGGGAAGAAGGCTCAAGCTCAACAACAACAACAAGTCAAAGCCAAAGCCAAAGAGGTGTTTTGAGTGTGGACAAGAAGGTCACTTTTCCCATGAGTGTCAAACTCCACCACCAC